TTGCTGCTGCCTGTCTCCTTTTGTCTCCTGCTGCTGCTGTCTCCTTTTGTGTGGGGCGGGGAGACAACCCCACCCTAAGGATACAAATTAATATAGACAAAAATTAAATAAAAAAATAAATAAATAATAAATATTTATATTATATAATACAAACCAATAGCCCTAGCTACCTACAGCTAGCCACAGCTAGCTACAGCTAGCCGCAGTTAGCCGCAGCTAGCTACAGCTAGCTACAGCTAGCCACAGCTAGCCACAGCTAGCTACAGCTAGCCACAGCTAGCTACAGCTAGTTGGGGGGTGCGGGGGTTGGTGTTGTTTGGTGAGCTGAGCTATTCTAGCAGGCAAGAAGGGTTTAGGGTTTAGGGTTTAGGGTTTAGGGTTTAGGGTTTAGCGTTGGTTGTGTAGTTTTGTCTGCTCTTTTCTCTGTTTGTATTTGTGTTTGCTTCGTTGCTGTGTCTGTGAGTTCTGTTTTTTTTTGTTTTTTTTTGTTTTTTTTTATGTATTTGTGTTGTTGCTGTCTCCTTTTTGTTTTTGTTTGTCTCTTTGTTTGTGCAGCATCTGCCGTTTCTCTGTTTTTTGTTGTTTGTCTTTTTCTCTCTCTCCCTTTTTTTTCTTTTCTTATTCTTTCTGTTTCTCTGTCTCGCTGCTGTTGCTGCTGCTGCTGTTGCTGCTGTTGTTGTTACTGCTGCTGCTGCCGCCGCTGCTGTTGCTACTCTTGCTGCTGCTGCTGCTGCTGCTGCTGCTGCTGCTGCTGCTGCACTGAGAGTTATGGAGAGAGAGATGAAGCTATATCTGTCTCTTTTTATTTATATTGTTGTAGGGTCAGTTGGCTGCGCTGCCTCTTTCTGTGTTGTTCTGTCTGTAGTATTTACACCCTAAAAAGAGTTTAATTTTATTTTGTTTGTATATTATTTATTGTTTTATTTATTATATATTTATAAACTGCAATTAAAACAAAATAAAATGAAGAAGCACAGCAGGAGAAAGGCTGTGGTTGCTGCTGAGCTGCCTATACACCCCAGCAGCCCGCGGCGGTACGCGGGGGGGGGGGGGGGGGGGG